ACGTTTCTCACTTCACCATAGTCAACTTATATTCAAAAGTAGAGCGAATTTAAAATTTTGAGCCTTGCCACATATTTCTCATTTTGTTTGATTTTTGTAGACAGTCGCTCTTAAAACAGATCAGAAATGACCCTATTATTAAAATTAGAGATCATATAATCAAACGGGTTTACAAGAAAAAAGTCTTAGGCTTAGAAATAGACGACAAATTACAATGGACAAAACATGTTGAAAAACAAACTAAAAAGATTTCTTGTTCTATAGCTATGTTACGAAAAGTGAAGCCTTACGTACCTCAAGCAACACTACAGATGATGTATAAGTCATTTGTACTCCCCTATTTCAACTATTGTTCAACTATATGGTATGATGGTAATAAAATGCGCGCCGAAAAAATGCTCAAATTGCAAAAGCGTGCAGCACGGGTCATTACCAGTTCGGGCTTAGAAGAACGATCTTCTGAAATTTTTCAAATGCTCAAATGGACAAAAATACAATCAATACTAAAAAAGCGAGAATTAGTGATGACATTTAAAGCACTTAGGGGTATGGCTCCAGAATACTTAACACAGATGTTTCATGTCTCCGTTAACCAAACCTACCACAGGAGGCCCAGGCTCGACTTGCCCGCGCCCGCCTGTGCCTTCCTTATAACGAGGGAAGGACGGAGACATTGAGACCAAAATAGCCCAGACTTGGCATATGTCACACGAAACTATCCTCGATTTTTCGCTTTTAATGCATTTCTTTCACGATTAATCGATATCCCCTGCAAGAATGATACCGTATACAGTACTGCCAAGAAATAACTTGTCCCCGCGTCTGCCCGCGTCCTGCCTCCAGAGCGCCCGCGTCTTGCGTCCACTCTGCCCGCGTCCTGCCTCCAGAGCGCCCGCGTCCGGCCTCCACGACGCCCGCGTCTTGCGTCTGCTCTGCCCGCGTCCTGCCTCCAAAGCGCCCGCGTCCGGCCTCTAGTTAAAAACTGCGTCCGCTTGGACGCAGTCGTCGTAACATAATCGGAAAAACGAACTAATATTTGCATCATACTCGTAGTTTGTCGTGAGAATACAAATCAGTGTCACTGATCGGAGAAGCAAAGAATAAAAAGTTGAATCCGAAATCGAGTTTCATTTAACCTAAGCGTTACACTTAGTATAACCATTTTATAATGTTATACTACAGTAAGCGTAGTGCTTTCACAATGCAATCACACGTACTTGAGTCGCGATTGAAGCGTATATGACTATATATTGGAGCGTAAAATAGACATAAACTATATATAAATATAATGTAGCCACATATACTAAACTCAGTGAGATCACGACTACAACGAGTATATATCTCGCAACACATTCATTTGCTACTCAAATTCAGACTTACCTCGTAGAAGATTGCCGATTAGTTGATATGCAATTCTGTATTTGAATAATGTTATGTCTCCGTAATTCGTCAGTATATTAAAACGAAGATGCTCATTTACAATATACATAGTGCTTTTGATTTTTCATATAAAATACCATTACTACGAGCCACTATATAATTTTATTTACAGCAACAAGTTTGTGTTGTTTTTCCAAAGCAGTAAATGCACATGGTGATATGTCATATAAATTGATAATTACCATATAATTTCTGAATAAATGACTTCTCTTAATCCCTTAATGGAATACCTTTACATGTCCAGGAAACAGTCTTTGTGTTTCAACACGGTTCAACGACTGTGACCCATCGCTTGATTTTCAAAGTTGCAGTATAATTCGCTAAAGCTGAAGTGAAGAGCTCAGACTAATATCACTCGATCCGTATTACTATCAGACTAATGAAATGAGGTATAGATCGCTAACTTGTCAACCAAAACGTATTTTGGGTTTCTTCGAAGAAGCTATAAAACCATACGTGCATTTTGCCAACCGGCAACGTTAAAAGATTACTGGGTTTAAACCAAACGTTATACGAAGGTGCGAAAGTAGAGATCAAATACGAAAAGGAACTTTACGAAGTACAAATTCTGAAAATTTACGGTAAGTTTAATATTAGAAATATAAATATCTAGGATTCTAGGTCTGCAACGCTTGTGTATAAGCATAAAACGTGGTGTGAAATCGCTAACATGAATATTTTTCGACGCCCACGGTTTGTTTATGAAAAGCGAAACGCGATAATTTCCGACGATCTACGAATAGAACTCTTTCTCAGCTGCGTCCTCGCCCGCAGACGCAAAGCGGACGCATGGCGCCCGCACAGTGGACGCACCCGCAAGCGCCCGCAGACGCACAGTGGACGCACGATGGACGCACGGCGCCCGCAGGACGCAGGGGCGGATCCAGCCAAAAATCTGACCGTAGCATTTTCCAAGACCTCGCATAGCTAGGGGGGTCCTAAGGCATGCCCCCCCGGAAAATTTTTGAAATTTGAAGCCCGGAAATGCCATTTCCTGCGTTCTGAGCACTGCATGTGACCATTAAATTTGTCCTCATTGTATTCATTTTTCAAGCAAAAATAAGCCGAAATGATCTCTAAATGTAAACTATTGCTCGCGTATATTTTAACATACGATATCGGTATGATACTCGTATAATACGCATATCATTATCAATTGAATACCGAAATGCGCGTATCATCTACGAACGCGTGTATCATACGAATACGCATATCATATGAACGCGCGTATGATATGAATACGCGTATCTTACGAATATATACGCATTACAAACAAATATTAGCGCGCTATAAAACACGATATATATATACGCGCATATCATAATTCGCGTATTAATTCCAATACATGCAGGTATACTGTACATACGCGCACAAACACTTTAATAAAGCGAAGTTAATAGCGAACACTATACAGTAAAAACTCAAATTAAAATATAATGTGCATCTCTTATCATTCATAAGGCTTACCGCCTTACCTGACTGGAAATGATTCGTTTTACTATCTGATTTTATTTCTACCTCGACGCATATAAATCCTTTAGCTTTACGACGGCTTTCATTTCGAAATGCGCACAACCGTACTGTGGGTTCCCAATAGCATGTTGTTGATGAGCCAAACGCAAATATCAGATATTCCATCGTTCTGGAGCAGTAGCCAATTTCATGCCACCGTAGCAAACTATAGCATTTGCCCCATTCCGATTGGTTTGCTACGTTTGACCGTAGCAAACCAATCAGAATGCCGTATATGCCAATTTTCGCTACGGTCAGATTCGACCTTAATGAATCTGACCGTAGCGAAAATTGATCATATATGGGAAACACGCTACGGTGTATTTCTGAAGGATGATATTTTCTAAGCTATAGTCCATTGCGTAATGACCCGCAAACGGGCAATTACAACCGTATTTTCGGGCGGGAATTCTTAAAACAATTAGCGTTACGTATTATAAATGTCATCAATTTGTCAAAATAAAATGTTTTAGAACATATAAAACTAAATAAAATAAAACCTTGAAATATAAACAAGGAAAGTAAACAAAATATTGCTAAATTATATTTTACATTGATTTTATGATCCATGTTAGAACTGGCCTATGGAAAATCTGACCGTAGCATATGCTACAGTTGCAACGGTCTAAATCCGCCCCTGGGACGGACGCACCCGCGGGCGCCCGTGGACGCACAGTGGACGCAAGATGCCCGCGTCTTGGACGCGGTTTTTGATAAGTTATTTCTTGGCAGTACTGTAACTCTCAAAACAACGATGCTTTAATCAAAGAGCTTAAATTCGCTCTGAAATCCGTGAGGGAATAACAAAATTCGGCCAAAATATATCCGCGTGCCCGGTTTGCTGTGCAAAAAGCGGAAGTCGTTGAACAACTCAAAAACACTCAACCCCGATTGGACAACGAATTTCAACAAACATTTCAATTTTTTTTAACAGTGCTGTTATAATTTCAATCATACAATCAAAACTATTCACAAACGTTATAAAGTGTAAATATTACTGCAAGTATATAAAACTGTAGTACGTTAATATGTATAATAAATTGTATTTCACATTGTGTTTGTTAAAAAAATTTGAAATGTTTGTTGAAATTCGTTGTCCTCAGGGTTGAGTGTCGACTTCCGACTTTTTGCACAGCAAACCGGGCACGCGGATATATTTTGGCCGAATTTTGTTATTCCCTCACGGATTTCAGAGCGAATTTAAGCTCTTTGATTAAAGCATCGTTGTTTTGAGAGTTATACGGTATCATTCTTGCAGGGGATATCAATTAATCGTGAAAGAAATGCATTAAAAGCGAAAAATCGAGGATAGTTTCGTGTGACATATGCCAAGTCTGGGCTATTTTGGTCTCAATGTCTCCGTCCTTCCCTCGTTATAAGGAAGGCACAGGCGGGCGCGGGCAAGTCGAGCCTGGGCCTCCTGTGAACCTACCAACTACGAAATAATCATCAAAAGCTTTACCTACCAAAACCTAAGACGAATTTTTTAAAACGAAGCTTCTCCTATAGAGGAGCAGTTTCATGGAACCAAATTTTAATGGAAAAACTTCCAATTATAGAAATACCTGAAACTTCCATCAGTTCTTTTAAAAGACTAATAGATGGCTTGTGTTTTTGAATTGGGAGGTCATCCTGCCAAACCATACGTTTATGTAAATAGAGTATATTATGCATGATTGTTTTATAGTTAATTATTTTAATATTTTTATAATAATTTATAGTAAGTGTGCACGGCCCTTTGAAAAACAGACTTCTGAAAGGCTACCGTGAATAAATAAGCTTAAATAATAATAATTACCAAAGGAGATATCTCCTATATACTTCATCTACTGTTCATAACTGTTTAGATATTTAAAACCTTTCGCTTGCTCATGAAAACAAGAACAAGTATGTACATATTTATTTGGATTATAAAGAATAGTGTCTGCTGTGTTTCCTTGGTTGCACTTGTAGGCACCGATATTATCTGTCAGTCAGATCAATACAAATCTGGCATAGTTTCCGTCCGCCATATAGCACTGCAGCGCGACAAAGGAAAAAATATTCGAGCCGTGAGTGCAAGGTTGAGCAAACAACTCTGTGTCGTCGAAACTTAGCATAAAAAAATATACGTTGGATATCGCCAAAAGTAACGACTCTCTCGAGGCCAGAAAGTAACAGTTAGCGTTACCTTTTATAAATGTTTTTAATAACTAGTTACAGTAAAACGTTACCTTCCCAAAAAAGTAACAATTACATTATTTACTTGTAACGAGGTTACTCACAGCACTGATTATATCAAATATAGATAACTGTAGTCTGTATCAATGGTTTGTTTTGTTTATTTTGCCCATAAATCATAATTATATCTACAATGTACATTTCTGATACTTGATTAATAAGTACATTTCTGATACTTGATTAATGGTTTATATTTAAGACCCCTAGTTATAACAACCTTCTAATTACAGTCAACCAAATTTAAAATATATTACATATAGGTATTATAAGTATAAAAGAAAAGAAAGAGAGAAAAGCTGAAAAACTATATACTATAACAGTATAATTAAAGAATCACAGTCAACCGTGATGCTTTGCGCGCTAAAATGTTTTGATTGTTTTGTATTCCGCCATTTTGTTAGCCACTTTAGTGACGAAAGAATGAAAGATTCACATCCAAAGCGTATCCTTATCAATCTGCATTATTCTTAAACGAAGTCATATTTTCATAATTGGAATATATTAAGGCATGGCTCCCTAGGGTTTTATTCCCAGGAGTTACGTTCTTCGTATATATGTAAACTATCGCGTGTATTAGCCTAATACGAACGAACGTTGTATTTTATATGGAACTCTTTTTTGAAACAAATGTGTGAACTTTTCTTTAGTTAAAAGCATAAAAAGAGTTCTAAAATCCACAACGATACTTGGACGTGATGTTTCAGACGGCAGATAATGTAAATTTGTTTCAGTTTTCAGGCGGTATTCTCAGGACGCTCTTGACCGCCGTACGCGAAGGTCGCATCGCGAACATTGGAATATGATATAAAGTTTCCTCAAGTATTCAGTTGCAGTGTTTTCTGCACAATCTAACAGCACTTAATACAATAAAGATGACTTAAATAATGAGCCCTCTACGCGGGTGAAATGAGCAGGGCCGAAACTCCACAAACATACCACCATAAAAACTGAAATTTGAACTGGCGTTTTGCGAAAACATCGGCCGATAGTATACTAAGGGGCTGTTTACATGAGCCCGGCTAGCCGGGATGAGACGTTTGCCGGGCTGAAATGCATGCTGACGAAAATTGGCGGGAAAAACTTGCTTACGATTTAACAGTGTAACGTATGTCACGGAAGTCGAATTTGTGCTTTATTAGCAAATTTAATCGATTAAAACTACTTTGTCGGCAAGATTAATTGAAGAAATAAAACTTTGTCAAGAAAAATATCAGTTTCTGTCTTTTATTTTTGTTTTAAATGAAGTTTTTGTTCTAGCCCGGTTGGCCGGGCTGGATACTTTACATGGAGAAATTTCAGCCCAGCTGACCGGGCTCCCGTTTGAGTCAAGTGGGATCCCAGCTAAACGGGCTGGCCCGGTTTGTCATGTAAAGTAAAATTGCTTTGTGTTGGAAATTACTACGAAGCCGGGCGCCCCGTTTATTGGACCAGGAACTGGTCCCCAATCGCTGCTAATCTTGTTGTTGTTGTTGTTGTTGTTGTTGTTGTTGTTGTTGTTGTTGTTGTTGTTAGGGGGCGACGCTCTTTGAAAAAAACCTAAGGCTCCGTCATTACTTGTCTGATCGGAATGAAATTTGACACAATTATTCTAAGCAATATTCCGCATCGATTGACGGTGTTCGATTTTTCAATTTTGACTTTAGAAGCAAGATACAAGCAATTTTTGACTGTATTCGTAGCAAATAATATATACATATCATTAATATTCAGCAAATATATCAGCAAACGCAAACGATAAGAAAGACATTGTCTTGTCTATTGTTGACTTGTGAACACAATCACAATAGTCTATAAAAGCTTCTCAAGAATGTGAACGACTAATTATAACAATTAATTATAAGCGTTAAGTTGACTAAGCTGGCTTAGTTTCTCAAAGCGTAGTGGAGTAATATTGCTATCTGGCTGTCATGTAATATTCATAGTCCGATAGAAAATCGTGAACCGTAAAAACAAAGACATGAAAATTTGCTTTTAGCACAACGGCAAAAGTTAGCTGACTTAGGCACGGCATGTTTATTCTAAATATTGTGGGACATTTAACTTATCTATCGAATTCAAATGCGAGGAAATACTTTTGAAAACTGCGCATTTAGTTATCTATGCTTTGTCCAGATTTACACCTCATTTAGGCTATATACACACGGCACTAGACACATTTTGCCCGGATAAAGTGTATCTTGCATGACCAAATTAAAGCAAATTAATACCAAATTTCAAATTAATACCAACAAGTAATTACCTAAATATCTTTGCCAATTTTACATGTAATAATCCACGCTTAGCTGACCATTAACCTACACAATAAAACAGTATGTATCGAACATAATTTATATTTTGTAATCATGCCTGGTTGTTTACGAAATGCATGTACACGTCAGATGTGATCATTCTTCACGTCTCATCTCGTAAAAATGCCAAAATTAAACCTAAATTTCTCGACCCTTTTCCTTCGGTAATTTTTTTTAAAACTTTGCACATCTTTTAATATCGACACAATAAGTGCGATATCCTTTTTTTCTTAAAATTCCATCGAAGGGAAAATTTTTAATATTGTATTACTGATTTTTGACTTTTTTAAATTTTCTAAGAAACGTAGTCTACAGATAGAATTTTTTAAAATTGAAGAAAAAAATCATGATACCAGTATTATCTTTTATGCAACGTATAAAAAAACAATTTACCAAAGGGAATTTTTAAAATGGCCTGAAAAGACAAATTTTGAGCTTTATTCTAAGCATGCTGTTGCTGTGGCAACAGACATTCAACACAAAAGTAGCAACTTGCAATGTTCAGGAGAGCATTGTCAATAATGTGTCCAATAAATTTCGTCTTCATGTCATGTAAAGTGAAGAAACAGGGGTCTCCTGGATACTATAGTATAATATAATTCAAAAACCCTAGGGAGCCACCTTAATAGATCATTGATTGAGATTTTGGCGTGTGTTTTTATCTTCAGCAATGATTTTAGAAAGTTTTCTCATTTTATATATAAAGTAGATGGCTAATCATGGCTTCTGCATTTCCCGTTCGTGGAAGACCAACAAGTGAGGGTATATCAAAACGAATATCGTTGACAAGTTCAACGATACTTGAACAACCGTCCTTTGGACGGAAAGGATGAAAAGCCTGGGAATACGGGGACTTTCGCATAGCGAGTTCGCGGAAATCCTGCTCCATCAAAGCATGGACGAACTGCGTGAACGTAGCAGGCGATGGGGCAGGAATCAGGATTTCATCAAAACACCAACGGGTAATTAAAGTTTTTTGTTTATAATGAAGCTAATGCGTATCATTTTTAGTGTATGACTATATTTTCGAAGACAACGCTATTTTTAGTTCCGGTTCCGTACATGTAAACATTCACATAGCGCGCGAAGCATCACGGTTGACTGTGATTCTTTAAGTGCATGTGACTAGTGTGAAAAAAGAATTAGATTTCAGTCCATTCCAAATATCGACTCCTTTATAAGAAAGATTATCCTTCACATAATTTGTTCTTTTAAACGACTTGAGAAGGTATTTTTTATTTCTTGTATTATGTTGGTGGATTTAATCATTATTCACAAAGTAATTAGCGAATAGCTCGTAAATTTTTTACATGGTGATATCGAAAAATAAATAATCTAGTTAAATAATAATTTATTTTGTAAATGTCCAAAATTCTTTAAAAATTGGTTCGCTATGTGCCAAGTAAGAGTTGAATGTCGTAAGACGCACAATTGTTTTGGTATATTCATTGGTTTTTGAATTCTTTTTGTGTATGTATTACCCAAATTAATATATTGCCATAGATTAGATATGGATAAGACGCATAGTTTTCGAGCATTTAAATTTGTAAAATGACGTATTTTGGCGATTACTCCAGCAGACTTAATAATTTCTTTTGCTATTAAATCAACGTGGTCATTCAATAACATTACCAAGGAATGTGGTATTTTTGGCTTGCTTAATTTTTTCATTTTTAATGATCGAAATTGTTACGGTAAAATTTTGCTTTTTGTTATGAGATCTAAATAGAATAAACTTTTCTTTGAAGTATTTATAGACAATATATTTAGCTGGCCTGCCTTATACTAAGACCTTGCTTTGCATTGCCACGTATTTGCAACCTAGTATTGGTCAAGGCCCTAATTCCACTTAGTTGTTTGAAGTGTTGACAAATTAATGCAGACAAACCCTGTTCAGTTTTGTATTGCAAATGATCAGGATTAGGATATTAATTTATATATTTATATATATTTTGAAAATATTGACCTTTCATGTCGTTTTCTATTTCTATTTCAACTTTTCTAATATCATGTCCATCTTTCTTTCCAAACCGTTAAGATTCACTTCATTTTGATCCTGGATTCCTTTCAAATCATGTTGTAAGCATGAACGAAGATTTTCTAATTTAATTTCAACTGCTTTTGTAATATTTTCTTCCAAAGTAATCTCCACTTCCTGTTCGAATTCATTTTTTTCACTTCCACCGTCACCTTTGTACATTTGTCTACCGAAGTACAGTAAATCCAAACATTTTTTATGGAGACTCTTTTTTCGTTGAGGAAAGTCAATGTGAAATTTATCTTCTTTCACTCTCATCAAGCAAGAGATGTTGTTTGCACTTTTCTCCAAATGAATAACAAATTCAGCCTCCAAAGAAAAATAGACTTAATTATTCATCATGTCACAAGTTGTGTATAAGTAACATACTTTAGGGGTTAGTATTTTCGGAGGAGCTCACACTCCTCACACGATAGGGTCGAAAATTTCAGGTTGTTAAATACATTACATTATTTGCAATCAAACGCGCCGTCCACCGAATTTGTCAAAAGGATTCCAATTCTATCTCTCGTATAAAGAGATGATAAGAGAAGAAGCATGAACAACAAAGCTCTGTGTGGTCTACGACGCGTCAGCTAAGCCATTGCAACAAGATCCGTCATTAAATGACTGTCTCTACACAGCCAATTTCGCGCAAGTCGGAACAGATCTGCAACAGATCTGTTAAAACATGTTGTCAGCAAGCCGATATCTGGATGCGTTCGCTCGCCTTGTACCTCCGCAACGGCTTGTCATCAGGTCTGTTACAAGCTGTTGCGACAGAGCTTCAGCAATGCTGTTTTCAACAGACCTGCCGCAAGTTGTTGTGACAGAGCTGCAGCAATGCTGTTTCCAACAGGCCTGTCGCAAGTTGTTGACACAGAGTCAGAGCTGCAGCAATGCTGTTTTCAACAACTTGCGACAGATCTGTTGCAAACAGAGGAAAGCGCTTTATGAAGCTTCGTGTATCCACTATTTTGAACAAAACACGGCCAAACAGGTTGCCATATTTCGGTTGTAGTGTTTCGTAAAATAACAAGACTTAAATATAACAAACTTGCGAGATAATTTCTGAGCAAAACAGCTGAAAAAAATACGACAAAGTCAAAGAAAGGTTCTTTATCGTAAACAATTTTTAAAATTAATTGGTCTTTAAGTGCGACCGAAATATAATAACCTACTTGCATATTTTTCTTCAAAACAGTACATACACAAAGATTCAATAAGGCGTCTTCCTCGCTCGCAGAATTCACTTGAAATTGGAAAGAAATTATATAACGAATTTCATATTCATATTAACAATGAAGAAGTTGAACACTCGGTTGTTTATGTATTTTTCATTTCTAAAGCTCTAGATCTTGTGTTTTCTTGGCCATTGCCACAGTTTCTTCAAAAATCAAAACAGCTTTGAACTTGTTTGATTTTGTTTGAGGCAGTTGTTGAAATTTTGTTTGGCTCAAAACAGTCAAAAGTCAAAATTCAAAAACAACTAACTGATGATTACGTGATTGAAATGTTTGTAAAATTTCGTCCAATTGCAACGAGGAATGATGACGTGTGCACACGCCTTTATCCAATCAGATTAAAGAACTATAGCGATAGCACACGTCAGTAAATTGGAATTTGGATTTTGGAAATCGGAACCACAGAGTAGAGACATACAGAGCTCTAACTGACCGTTGTGAACACTGCGGAAGCTTACGTTTTCATGTACCCACTTTTTTCAGGCGACCAAACAAAAAATGATCAACTGCGCGTGCTCAGCAAGTTTAAAGTGAGTCGTCATCAGGACGTCATCCAATCAGATACATGCATCTAGTAACTTGCCGAGCAGGCGCACAAAAAAAGTGGGTACACTAGTTACAACCCTGTATGTCTCCTCTGTGTCGGAACTATTTTTTAAAAATAAAACAGCCGCTTTTGCATTTAATCATAGAGTAGCTACTTAGGTTATGTGCACACGGGCGTCGTTTTCCAGCGTTTTCAAAACCTTTTTTTCCCTTTAATCGTTTTGACGCCCTGTTCACACGATCCAAAGGAAAATATCTCCAATATATTAAATAAACTACAGCTTCTGTCGTAAATTGATAGTGTTTGCATCCGTTTTAGCGTGAAAACACAAATGAAAACGCTCGAAGTGCATATAGCCTTTGTCTCTCCTCTGTGATTTAATATTGCCTTGAATGAGAAAGTGAATCCTGAATCATCCATTTCGTACGATTTTTCTCTTAACTCACATTTTCGATTTGTTTCCCAACAACAGGCTTGTTGAAACTTGTTGTGACAGGACAAAAATTGTTTGTCGTGGACAGGTTTGTCGCAGGTCTGATAACAAGCTTGCTGCAGACTTGACAAAAACAAATCGCGACAGGTCTGTTGAAACAACCTGTAACAAACCTGTTGATTTCATCAGACTTGCTGCAAGTTGTTATATCAGATCTGTTATCTCTTGTTAGTAACAGGTTTGTAGCGGGTTGTTTCAACAAGTCGCTACGGCTCTGTTGTCAACAGCTTGCGACAGACCTGTTACCGCAAGCCTGTTATCGCCTGACGAAACCAACAGACCTGTCGTGACTTGTTGACAACTTGTCGCAAACCGGTAAAATCAACAGATTGCGACAGGCCTGTGAGATTTCTGGCTGTGTACACCGGACCATCGTTACAGAGCAAGATGTGGGAAGTTCCGGCGCGACAGCGAGCCTTTCCAGTGGCCCTGACCAGTGATATGATGAAAACATTCCTTCAAATAAGAATAACAGAAGCGGAATGAGCTGCTCCTCGTTTCCACTGGGGTATTTCTAAGAGGAAGTTAAAACTTTTCGGGCGAAGATCGAGGAGATCGAGTGAAGTTTATGTGTGGATGACAGAGCGGTAACAAGAACAGAGACGGAAGGCAGCTTATACTTGCAGATGCAATCTTCAAATTATACAAATGCTCGGCCTCAAACATCCATGGTCTTGAACATAACCCCAGTTCAACAAACAGAGGCAGACATAAACGTAACACATATAAACTGGGTCGTGCTCAACTCTGAAACGGAGTTGAAGTATATTAGCTTTGCAGTGATAAATTTACGTGGTGTTTCCACAAACACAATTATTATATAATTATTAGCTATGTTCTTGATTCTGTTTTACAACACGAGAATATAATTTGTACGCTGTAGCCAAGGTCCCTACGGTGAAAAGTATACACAGCCAGAAATCTCACAGGCATGTCGCAAGCTGTTGATTTTACCGGCTTGCGGCAAGTTGTCAACAAGTCGCGACAGGTCTGTTGGTTTCGTCAAGCGGTAACAGGCTTGCGGGAACAGGTCTGTCGCAAGCTGTTTACAACAGAGCCGTAGCGACTTTTTGAAACAACCCGCTACAAATCTGTTACTAACAAGAGATAACAAGTCTGATAGAACAACTTGCAGCAAGTCTGTTGAAATCAACAGGTTTGTTACAACTTGTTCCAACAGATCTGTCGCGAGTTGTTTTTGTCAAGTCTGCAGCAAGCTTGTTATCAGACCTGCGACAAACCTGTCCACAACAAACAATTTTTGTCCTGTCACAACAAGTTTCAACAAGCCTGTTGTTGGGAAACAAATCGAAAATGTGAGTAAAGAGAAAAATATAATCGCACGAAATGGACACTCCCGGCTTCACTTTCTCATTCAATCATTGTCATTGGTGGCAATATTAAATCACATAGGAGAGACTATAGTCAATAGTATCTATTCTCTGATTAAATGCAAAAGCCGCTGTTTTATTTCTAAAAAATAGTTCCGATTTCCAAAATCCAAATTCCAATTTACTGAAAAAAAACTGAACAGATATGAATTTCCTCTCAATTTCGCAAAACAGCCATTAGTATCCGTTTTTTTATGTTTATAGTATCTTTGGGTACTTATAATGTAGAATAATGAAAAAAAATTATCGAACTCCAATTTTGTGAACCAGGAGGGTGGGTGTCTTTTTCAACAAACTAAGAATGGCTAATTGCGCACAAAATGCAAAAATGTGCAAAATATAAGCACAATGTGTGACGTCATTAGTTGGGTAAGTATGTTTAATGAATACTAAACTGAAGCATAGCTCAGTTATTGTGGGCCCAAATCAAATGAAAGGTTCTTAATTACTGTACAAACTTTTACTAGAGAATTCGCTTTAATTTCAGTCCTTTAACTATCCATTTTTTCCTAAAACTAATCAGCCTTTCGCATGCTTAATTAATGCCTTTACCTAATTTGCATATTGCTGACACAATGCACATTAGGCAAAGGCATTAATTAGCATGCAAATAGCTGATTTTTAAGGAAAAAATGTAAGTTTGCGTGAATAGTTAAAGGGCTTAAACTAACGCAAATTGTCTGAAATTTTGTACAGTAATTAAAAACCCAACAAATTTTCCATCTATTAACTCAAAATACGATTAAAGCTTTTAAATTTCGTGCGCAAGCCATTTTTAGTTTGTTGGAAAAGCACCCCCCCTGGTTCACAAAATTTGAGTTCGAGAAATTTTTTTCATTATTCTACATTATATAAGTACCCAAAGAAGCTATATATATAAAAAACTGGATACTAATAGCTGTTTTGCGAAATTGAGAGCAATTTCAAATCTGTTCAGTTTTTTTTATACATCCTGTATTACAAACATCAATCACGTAATCATGTTTAGTTGTTTTTGAATTTTGAGCCAAACAAAATTTCAACAACTGCCTCAAACAAAATCAAACAAGTTCAAAGCTGTTTTGATTTTTGAAGAAACTGTGGCAATGAGAACACAAGATCTAGAGTTTAAGAAATGAAAAATACATGAGCAACCGAGTGTTCACTGCAACGTTCTTCATTGTTGATGATGAATATGAAATTCGTTATATAATTTCTTTCCAATTTCAAGTGAAATCTGCGAGCGAGGAAGACGCCTTATTGAAGCTTTGTGTTATTGTATGTACTATTTTGAAGAAAAATATGCAAGTCGGTTGTCATATTTCGGTCGTACTTAAAGACCAATTAATTTTGAAAATTGTTTACGATAAGAATCTTTAATTTGTCGTATTTTTTCGGCTGTTTTGCTCAAAAATTATCTCGCAAGTTTGTTTATAAGTGTTTATATCAAAGTCTGGCTATTTCACGAAACACTACAACCGAAATATGGCAACCTGTTTGGCCGGTTTTTTTTGTTCAAAATAGTGGATACACAAGCTTCATAAGGCGCTTTCCTCGCGGTTTGCAACAGGTCTGTCGCAAGTTGTTGAAAACAGCATTGCTGCAGCTCTGTGTCAACAACTTGCGACAGGCCTGTTGAAAACAGCATTGCTGCAGCTCTGTCACAACAACTTGCGACAGGCCTGTTGAAAACAGCATTGCTACAGCTCTGTCACAACAGCTTGTAACAAACTTGTTGACAGACCGTTGCCACAGAATAGGAAGGTACAGCAGAAGTGTAACTTGAGTTGGTTCCTTTATTGTTTTACGTCCACGAAAATTTTAACTCGCTCACGCCATCCTGGCTAGTACAACCGGAAGTTTTTATCAGGTTTTGGTAGGTACAAAGTGCCGGTTGTACTAGCCAGGATGGCGTGATTGATGACGAATTGCTTGTAAAAACGCGGACAAATACTTGCTTGAGTTACACTTCTGCTATACCTTCCTATTCTGTGCCGTTGCGGACCTGTCAGAACAGACAAGTACAAGGCGAGCGAACGCATCCAGATATCAGCCTCGTACCCAGGCGCAAATAACGTAATAAAAATAGCAACACTACAGTGTTTTTATATAGATCAGTGGCTCGTCCTCCCCAAGCACCCCCGCGCGCTCGCTCATCTTAGCCACTGATCTATATAAAAACACTGTAGTGTTGCTATTTTTAGAAAGCTCACGCAAGTTTATTATATTTGTCTGAAAGCTCACGCAAGTTTGTTTATTTTTTCAATCAATCAGATTCACCATAGGAATCGCATTTTGTCTCCAGCATCGTCCCAAGAAATTTATCAGCAAATTAGCAATAGTTTTGCACATATTTTCTACTTTTGTATTTGTTTTTTTAAATAATTTTTTCACAGTAATGTTGTTCGAATAAAACATTTTTTGAAGTTTTCATGTTGTTTTGACATAAAATTTTGGTTGCGAAATGAGCATGTATGTCTATATGGGCAAAAGAGTTGCCGTCTTCCCTGTTATAAAGACTTATACGTCACTACGCCACTGCGAATCAGAGATTTTGCATCGCATGACACTTGAATATAAAACCCCCCATGCCAAGAAAGTAGAGTTAGAATATTTAGCCGACATTCGACTTTGTGCAAGGTGTTTGATATTCAAATTGCACTTTTCGGTCTTTTCCTGCATCCTGAACAGATAGATAGATAGTTTAATAAAACATTTACATTGCAGCCAAAGGCTGAATTACGTAAAGTTTACAAAATACGAATTATTATTTAATTACTATTATAATTATTAAGTTAAAATTATGCAAATATTTAAAATTTTACTAGGATGATAATAAAAAAGATACCACTAACGTTACGAAGACATCTTCGATGCCATCGCAAATATAAAAGTTTTTAGTACGATTAGTATTAAAATGAGGAATGTCAAATTCATGACTATTTCTGAGATCGTGGTGCCAGTTATGTCTCTGTGGGAGGAGGTCATAAAGTTTGTGGTTTGGATCCTTTGTGACATTATCAAACAAGTTTTTGCATAAGAAATTATGGTGTTCTTCTATTGGTTTGATGTTCAAAATTTCTCCTGTTGCAGAGTAGTCCATTCCTGGATTTATTATTGAAATAGCCCTTTTTTCCAGTCGAATCAATTCGTTCTTTAAGTATTGTGGAAGGGAGTGATAAAAGGCTGGTACTGCGTAATCCATGACAGATCTAACGCAAGACGTATAGAATAACACAAGATCTTTAACTGGTAACCTAGCTCTTTTTAATTGAACCAGATAATATAGTCTCTTACTGGCTTTTTTGACGACCTCTTTTATATGGGCATGCCAAGTTAGATTGTTACTTATTGTTACTCCCAATAATTTAGCACTTTCGACTATTTCGACTTCTATACCATTAAGTATGACTTGATCTAGAACAACTGGGTCCTTACTAAAAGAAATTCTCAATTCTTTACATTTGTCTGGATGTAGCTTTAATCTATTTTCTTCTGACCATTGCTTAATATGATCTGCTATGTTTTGGGCTGTACTAACATTGCTTTTGGGAAGAATATCCGATGCTGTGGTATCATCCACGAACTTCCACAGGTATGGGGAATTAATATTCAGGTCTTGGATCATTAAAATAAACAACCATGGACCTAGCTTTGTACCTTGCGGTACACCAGACGGAACAAGGCCCCACTCAGAAAAACAGCTATCGGCCAATTTGACTCTCTGCGTTCTATGAGAAAGAAAATCTATTATCCAGTTAATTATACTTCTAGGTATGTTCAAATTACCCAGTTTCTTCTTTACAAGAATTGTATGGTCGATAAAATCGAATGCCTTGCGATAATCAAACAATATTGTCCTTATTGTTGCCCCATTCCCGTCAGATTTATAAACCAGTGATGCAGCATACTAATTAACGCCATAGTGGTTGACGAGTTTGGAATCGCTCCATATTGACTAGCATCGATTATGTCTAGAATTGCCGGTTTAACATAATCCTCAACAATGAATTCCTCTGCCACTTTAGAGATGCAGGTGGTCAGGGAAATAGGCCTGAGATCTTTTTCCAATATAGTCACTGGTTTTTTTTTGGGTAACGGCGAAACATTTGCTTTCTTCCAGATGGTAGGCAACTGCTGTTCGTAATAGGAAGCATTGATAATTTTCATGACAGGAAGGGCCAAAAGATAAGAATATTCTTTAAAAATCCAGTTTGGTAGATTGTCTGGTCCAGGCGCCTTGTGAGGATTTAGTTTTGCTAGAACTTTTTGAACTCGTTCTTCAGTAACTTCCAAAAATTTTGGTGGGTCTTCTAACGGAAGACGTTCGAGGGGTTCTGATATTCTGTATTCGGCCAAGGGTGAAAGAAAGGCAGTATTAATGGTGTTAGCTTGTTCATGTGGAGGGAGGTTCGTAAATCCTTCGACATTGATTTGATGGGATAAATTTGTGCCTGCCGACTTTATTCCACTTAACCGCTTAACCTCATTCCACCACTTCCTTGGGACTTCTCCTTTAAGTTGTTTAATGTTGGATTCGTAGTATTTTGCCCTGCAGACTTTTCTTTCTCTGTTGACACAATTTCGGTAATATTTAAATTGGGGGGAATGTACACCGTGCGCATTGAAAGTTTTTTGTCTCTTAAAAATTAGGGATTTAAGCTTCTGGTTCATCCATGGAGCGTCAGCTTGGTGAATACGAATTTGTTTTTCTGGTATTATGGTGTTTAGTCCAGAATGAACTACTTCTTGGAAGACTGTCCACATATTTTCGCAAGTATCCAAGTGACTGAGCATTAAGGTCCAATCAATTGAACTTAAGTATCTTCCCATTTCTAATTTACGACTTTTCCGCTGGTCACGTATTGTTATCGATTTTTTAGTATTATTCTTCTGCACTGCAATTTTCCCTGTAGCTACTATTGTATTATGATCGGACAGCCCAAATCCTGGATAACCTTGAGGTGGGTTGTAAAACTTGTGCATATTAGTTAAAATGAGATCTAGCGTAGCATCGTTTCGAGTAGGTATCTTTACAATTTGCTTGAGACGAAAGTGATTTAGCAAACGGGTAACGTTAAGACGATTAAAATCGCCAGTTATAATGATTCCGCAGTTTGGATATTTTGATTCTACCAAAGTGAGTGTTTGGAAAAGATAATCCTGAAATAATTTTCCATCTGCCCCAGGTGGGTGATATATTACCGTTATAATTATGCATGTAAATCCACGAGGGAGACGGGTTGGTCTCAAGTAAATCAATAAGCATTCATGGTCGTCACAGCAATTTAGGTCGTCCAGACGTTTATATTTATATTGTGATTCTCTAATGTAGGCACACACCATTCTCTAATGTAGGCACACACCCCTCCATGATTCTGCGATGATCTATCCCTGCGCAATAAGGTAAAATTTGGAATATCAATGACACTGTCTGACACGGATTTTTTCAACCAGGTTTCTGTTATGAGGGCGAGATTAATTTCATTACGAATAATAAATTCATTAATTTCATCGATTTTTGGTACCAGGGACATGACATTTGTTAACATTAACTTCGGTACTTTAGGAATTCTTTGAATGGAACTGTTTAATAATAATACCGGTACCAATTCGTTTGGTCTTTCATGTTCGATGTTATACGAAAACCCTGCGCTCCAATTTTATCACATTTTTTAGCTTTGACGATACTGGGTTTTGTTGATTTATCCTGCTTCCCGATTTCGGACTTCCTTGGCCAATATCTATTGCGTTGACTATTAAGATATTTCTATTTGCATTTAATTTTCGGGAGTTTGATTGATGTTTTCTATCAGTTATACGAGTTGGAATATGTTGATAGTTACTCGACCCTAGCGGTGGACATGAATTCTGCTCTATTTGGCTCCGATCATCATAGAACTGATTGTACTTCTTTTGTATTCCCGTTGTTATTATTAACAACGGAAATTTCATGGGAGGATGAGCAACTATTTAAATTTGGTTGCTGGTTGGAATTACTTTGTATACGTCTGGGTGCTTCTTTTGTTCTATTTGAATTTTTATGTTGTTGGGCACGTTTGTTGACGCCTAAAGATTTTCCTACAGTATTCGAATTTGCTTTGTAATTTTCCATCTCCGAATTTAATGCTTGAATTTGATCAATGAGTTTTTCATTTTCAATTAAATACGCATCTGAATCCAACTTGCAGTTTACATGCTGCGTTATCTCTTTTTGATTCTTTTGTATATCGGCAATTTCTGTACATATTCGATTGAACTTTGATTCCATTATAACTAGATCTAATTCCATTATGACTGGGTCAGGGCTACACACTCGAGTTTGATTAGTGCTCTCATTTGCTGGATACAAATCCGTTTGCACAGCGACATTACACTTCGCGCTTTTGGAACCAAAAACCTTGAGATTTAATATAATTTGTAACCATGGCCATGTCTTCAGAAAGATTATTCATAACTGCAGACAACTGATGAACTTTCGTCTTAACGTCGCAAAATTCATTAAGTAATCGGTCAACAATTTTATTCTCATTCGGTTCAGATTCGTGAATTTGGGTTTTATTCCGGCATAAGTTAATCACTAAGTCCTTCAGCTTATCACCAAGTTCACATTGAAACAAGAGAGATTTCTTGTTCGCATACCAAGTAATAGTTAGTCTGTCATTTCGGAATGATTTTGCACTCCCACCCGGCGAACTCCATTTACCGTCGTTGCCAAACAAATTAGATACGAAATTCTTCAGTTTCTCGTAGTCTCCAGTCCATCTTATTCGATTATTATTTTTATTATATTCAATATATTCTATATACTTTGACACGACATTAAAGAAATTAACTTCAAGCTGACCAGATACATTAACAGCGGACCTATCTTAAAGGGAAATTGCTAGATAGTATACTTCAAAATAAGGTTTCCGTTTTTATATCATTTTTTTTAAATAAGTTAGGGTTAGATTAGGTTAGGGTTAGGTTAGGGTTGGGGTTAGGGTTAAGTTTAGTATTAGGGTTTAGTTTTGCGTTAATAGGATGGTTTTTTCTACGTTATAAAAACGGAAACCTTATTTTGAAGTATACTATCTAGCAATCACCTTATCTAAAGTCCGATCGGCAGCCATGTTGACCTCCATGTTGTTCTAAGCCCACCCGTGTATAAGCCCATGTGTTTATGAACAGGCGTATTAGCAATCTCGTACCAAGGGTATGCCTGTTCGCAAGTTAGGTCATGCCCAGCACCTAACCTGCGAACGGGCATACTCTGAGCTGTTTACATGATGGAAGGTGGGATGATTTTGATGTATTGAAATAAGTCACCAGGCAAAACGAAAGTTCAAATGCTGGTTAACCGAACTCAAATGTTGTAGAGAAGATCATGTAGTTTAAGAAGATTTTTATAGTTTTTTGAACAACCTTTCGTTTACAGTTAACTATAATCCATCTCTAGAAAATGATGTTTTTTGCTGAATCATGCATCGTGACTTATTCCAATATATCGAAATCATCCCGCCTCGTATCTCGTCCTGGCAAAGCGGGATCATATAAACAGCCCCTTACTCAGCAAATTGCGCATGCTCCCTTGCCTTTGATCCCTTGGGGGTGAGGCAGCACTTTCCTTGCGATAGTAACTTCTAGTATTAAAGTTTATCATACATACCCTTCGTTTAAATCGATCAAATTTTGCAGATTTCATCACTTCATCGGTATCACCAACAGCTAGACCAATCAGAGCGTTGTTTACAACAATCATCATGACGAGTATAAACAAAACAAGAATCACCAGCTTTATTTCATAAACCTCCTCAATCCATGTACATTGGACAAAGTGTTTCTGATAATTAGACATGCCAGATGTCATGGTGACAAATGTTGAAACGACGGAAATGTACATATTACGAAAGCTACGATGTTCTGATAGCAATACGTAGAATGTGCTGGAAAAGCTCAGTAAATATATGCAAACCACGAGTAAGATCTAAAAAAACCAGAAAAGTATAGATTAATTTTCAGTAAAATGTACATGCAGTACATGAATGACAATATATTCCGATACTTTATAACAACATTATAACATTCTAAGTTAAATTCTGGGGCAAGTTGCCCTGCTGTCCCCTTCCTTCTCACAGCGTGTTTTATTCACATGACACACCTTCATAAGAGTCCAGAAAATCGTTTGAACCACTATGATGTAAATCCCCATGATAGGCACAAGTTTGAGATATTGAATGAGTGTAATCCATGAATAGAGAACAGCAAAGGATCCAGCGCCAATATAAACTGACTCCTTCTCAGATAGTAGAAAGACGACAACCGTGATACGCATTGACACTTCAAGGTAATGGGCTAGTTTGGTGAAGTATCGAAATCCTTGCATTTTAATCTGAATTCAAAAACTCATTAATAATTCATGAGGAAAACACAAAGAGAAGTTATAAGCGTGTCGTATTTTTATATGTGATGGAGATTTCCCTTGATTTACAAAAACTTTAACTTTGATTTTCTCGACTAACACAACGTATTTTTCAAAAATTACTTCGCCAATGAACTTGCTAGATCGATCGTGCGATCATTTAGCCTGCGAACAGGCTCACTGGGAGAAAGGTGAGCCTGCACGGAACCATGCGTTTTATTCATTCATCCCCTTTTCGCATCTGCTAAACGCTAACCAATCAGCGTCGACTGCGATAAATAAACTGTCAACTGTCAAATTGACTTAAGGCGTGTACATTGTGCAACATGAACAATAATAATACAAAGCATTAGCGGGCCGCACAATATATTACTCGGAAAAATATAGAATTCTTCAAATATTAAATAGATATCAATACACATACAAATATAAAGCCGAATAAAATACTACCATTGGCATTGAATGTACAGTAATACTTGTACTATGAGCGACTGAAAGAAAAATGTTCTGAATATTTGAAGCTATTAATACTAGAATACGGTCAGATAGATTAGGATTTGGAATACCGAATAGTCGAATACGTCTAAAATTTTACTAACTGTGGTCTAAATAAATGATAAATGAGCATGTATTTATTAATTTCTTCGAAATCACGAGTGTGCCAATAGTGGAAGCCGTATCGACGACGAAATTGTCAGCAGTTTATACAGTAAATAGTACAATGTTTAATGTACGATATATATTTATCTAAATGACATGCCAGCGAGGATCAACAATATAATTATTCGTACATATTTGGGTATCTTTTGTATGCCTTCGCTTGCTGACTTGCTCACTAATGAGAATAATCCGTGAAGCCACGACGACCTCAAAATGTACTATACTATAGTGAGTATAGTCTGATGTCAATCCGAAGACGAAGTTCAGAATACTGTTATAGTTTCGTATATTGGATTTAAGCGATAGATTCAAGTCATTTATGATAGACTTTTTTGCTGTGATGCTTTGCTATTGCTTTTGGTCTCCACTTCTAGTTTTATTTGTTCGATAGTCCTATAATATATAATATTAAAATGAATAAAGTTCAAATTCTTCAAAATGCTGTTGTTGACATTTGCTATTTTTAGTAATTTGTCAACGAGTGTAAGCCAATCAGAAGCCTGCGTTTCTATACGAACGCCACTACCAAGAAAACCTATCATCCGTGCAGGCCCTCTATTCTTCGCGCCGCCCGCAACCCAGGGCCTGTTCGCAGGCTAGCGATCATTCGCAGTGCGTGTTTTATCAGACCTAAAGAAACTCGGCTTCCCCTCGTATCTTTATATCTGATAAAACATTGATTAATGATGCTCATGTTTTAAATAGTGCATAAAACACGTCGATTGGAAAAATGAAACACAGTGCCGTAGCCAGAACGATAATTGGGGGGG